ACAGGGGTCTGGCCTTCACACCACGCACTTCTCTTCTTGCAGAGGACGAGGAGTTTCTGCGTTCATCCAACTGATGTGGGGCAGGAGACGAGCTGCCTGCACCATGCATGGGAGCCCAGGCCAGGCAGGAGGGCGCTGGGAGCAGCCCTGGCACGGTGCCCGCAGAGCCACAGCCGTGGCCAAGCAGTAAATGTCTTGATGTGACTAATGAGCCCAGCATGTCCACTGGAGCCTGCAGAGGTGCAGGGCAGGGGAGCGAGTGGTTCCAGGAGGGTCCGTCTAGGTGATGCTCTCGAGTCCTCACTGACTTCCCCTTCTGGGTCCCCCCACCCCATTGGGGCTGCTGGGCCACCTCCACTGAGTCTTGGCCTCCTACCCCTTTCTTGGTGCTGGGGTGACACCTCCCTAGGGGCAAATAATTCCTGTGTCACTGCTGGTGGCCCTGCTGCTCCCTTGGACCTGCTCCTGGGCATCCCGAAGGACGCAGGGAGCACGTGGGGAGCACCGTGTTGGATAGGTAGCGCCAAGGTGCCCCTCTGCCCCAGGGATCCTTGCAAGTCACAGCCAGTTGCTCACCCGGCACTGGCTGGTTTATGGCTGTGCAGTCCCCAGTCAGCACTGGGTGAGGTCCCCAAGCCACGGCACGGGGCTGGGGACAGGCACTGGGACCTCTCTGCCTGGCACCCAGGGCCCACGGTTCTTAGTGAGGAGCCTGCTCCCCTCGACTCAGGGCTGCGGGGGCACCCGAGGACCAGGGGCGCCCACGGAGGGCAGCCCTGGAGGGCGCCCATCGCCCTGTCAGGGCTGCCGTCCCAAGGAGCCTGATGTCCCCCAGTGCCCGTGCCCTCCAGCAGCCCCCAGGCCACGTGGAGCATCTTCCCTGCCCCATCCTGGGCCCGAAGGAGACAGGAGATGGGGGGATGTGGGAGGTCAGCAGGAGGTTGGGTGACAGTTCGGTGTGGGGCCGCACGGAGATGCTGGGGACCACAGCAGGGTCGCAGGAAAGGACCATGGTGGGGTCACAAGAAGGTCGTGGGGGGCCACTGGAGGGTACTGAGGGGAGCTCAGGGATCAAAGGAGGTTATAGGGAGTAATGGAGGTGCCATGGGGGGCCCTGGGAGTCACAGGAGGGAATATGGGAGGTCACAGAGAGTCGCGTGGGTCGCAGGGAGTCACCAGAAGGGGTGATGGGGATCACAGGAGGGCTCCCAGGGGCCATGGGGATGACAGGGGGTCACCAGAAGGGGTGATGGGGATCACAGGAGGGCTCCCAGGGGCCATGGGGATGACAGGGGGTCACCAGAAGGGGTGATGGGGGTCACAGGAGGACTCCCAGGGGCCATGGGGAGCTTCAGGGGATCCCTGGGGGTCACACAGGGGG